GGAGAGAGAGAGAGAGGGAAAAGACAAATATACACAACAATGTGTACATGTTACACCCCATAGAAAAATAATAAGTTTAAATATTTCTAGCCACTCACCGTAAAATATTTTAATGATTTAAATTATAAAATTTGTAAATTGCGATTTGTTGAAGCTTGAAGTTAATGATCAAAGATGATAAGATTAATAAGATATATAACAATGAATGAATAAATAAAGACAATGAAATATAAAAGAGTGAGTGAATACGATAATAAATGAAAGGTATTTGATAAGAACAATGAAGCAAATTAAGGGGTAAGATAAAGTAAGGGTAAGAATAAAAGGATGTAAGATAAAGCTGTGACATAATCAATCATTTACAATAACCATAGAAGAACAAGAGAGGAACAGAGTATCTATAGATGAATTGGGTAAGTAAAAAACCGACGTGTCACTCCTTTCCCTTTTACCTGCTCCTCAGTCTCATCATTATGCCATTTTAAATAAATAAAGGATGAAAATGTAACTTTACTTTAAACTTTAACACTTCTCCTTAGATTCGCAAAGATGGTTTCAACCTTTGACAAATGTGTGCACAAACACTGTCAACGTCCTCATCACTTGGAAAAACGTCCCCCAACCTTTCCCATGCAAATTGCTCGTCCCACTTAGTAAGCCATCTGGATGTGATTAGTTGTGTTTCATGGCATGAAGTTTCCAAAGTAGTTGGGAGAGTTGATGTTACTGGGAGGTACGATGTTCTGGGAGAGTTAGATAGATGATGCTTCAGAGATTATTGCTTTCTGAAACAATCATTCACCTGATTGTTTCTCTAAACGTGACAGACGTATGGTTTGTCACTTGCTATGTTTACTCTTTGATCTATAATTTTCATGTGTAAATTTCGATTCCTTTAAAGATGCTTAAAAAGCGTAAGAGTTTTCCTTCTTCCTGCAAAAGTAATCAAATTTAGGACTTATTAGTTTTTTCGATGGTATCTTTCAGGTAATATTTGGAAATCTGGTAAGGATGTCATTACGAAAGGAAGATGTTTACGAGACAGAAGATTTGCCGGAGGAGGATCAACAAATGATTGAAGATGAGATTGCTGAATCGGAAGGTCATTCATTCTATTGCCACCTACATCAAAAATTTCCATAATGATCCTGAACTTGCACGGTTTAGTCTAATAATAAATCATATGACCAGTGAATTCGTTGTCGAAGATAGCTTGTTAATGAAACTTATCCCGGTGAAAGAACAGGATTTATGGTTGAGATTTTGTGCCGAGATCTTTTTCACTTGCTTCATATAGCTTTTAATTAACATTCATTTGTTGGAGTGAGTAATGTATTTCTGAATTAGAAAAATTCTTCGAAATTTATTCCTACCATTGACATTAGTTATGTTTCAGAAGTGGAGCGTGTACATATCGACGTTGACAATGCTTTGAAACGATTCAGAGGTCGTTTATTGAGCACAGAAAATGTCGGTGAGCACGCAGCATAATTCTTAGTTTTTCATTTAACAGCTATTTGATTTCTGATATATAGCTTACATATCCATTTAACTCTGTGAAGAGATGATTCATTCCCCACAACCTCACCAGTAGAGAATATCGGATTTCTTAGTATGCAAACTTTTTTTTTTGGACTACGAAAAAGAACATGCCTTAACGAGTTATCTGCATAGATTTCTCGGATTCTATTGCGCGTAGAAGGCGCCGTGGGTATGGTGGTGGTTCATATGTCCTCGAAGTGGTTGGGCCTTACGCAGATGAAACGGAAACATTGGAGCAGAAGTTTACTCGCTTAAATTGTGAGATAAATGATCTAGCGGAAACGCTACATGCACAGGTTAGGTATAATCGTTGATTTTTCTTTTTGATAGATTTTTTTTCATTTTTCATTTTTTTTGACATTAAATTTTTTTGACAATAATATTTTGAATAATCAGTGAACGTCCAAGACCTCTCTTGTACTACTATACTGCCTGATAGGCATCAGTTCTTTTAGTCGTTTTAGCAGCGGTATTAGCTGAAAATATCCATTTTAAGATATTTTCAGTTCTTCCAAATTATGGATCTGCACGGCATGAAATTAAATTTAAGGCAACCTTTTTCTATCTTTTTAGAAAGTATCTGAGAAACCGGATGCATGTGTTATCCATGAAGAAGATTTGATTGCAATGCTGGAAACATTGAAGGCCTTGCAAATCAATAGAGATAGCATTACAACCTCTGTTCAAAGTGAAAAGAAGTAAGGGATTGTTTTAAGGTGAACTGAAAAACTCTAGGTTTTGAAATTTATCTTCTCTTTTATTGCCAACAAATAGAATCAGTGCTGATTCTCATCAATTATTAATTTTGCGACTCGTTACATAGGTCATAAAATTTTGCAGAGATAACAAAACGGAAGGTGCAACCCTTCCTGCTCAAAATGGTGTCGTGAGCGGGCGTCTAGCAGTTTTGGAGAATCGAATTAATCGTCTGGAGCAAATGATTGATGGTGTTGGTGCTGGTTATGATGAATCCATGAAAGTTTGCAAAATTCCAGTTGCTGAAGCCCTTGAAGATTTACGGATGCGTGTGCAGCTATTACATCCAGCTCATGTTGACGGTCTTCATTCACGTATTACGCAGCTTCTTTCTAAGTTACAACAGGTATTTTTTTATGTTTACACACTGTTGTGGGTATGTCATTTCTTAAAAATATTTTTTGGATGGGACTTATTACTTTTGTCGTCCTGATGATGGCATTTTTTAATCCAAATACAAAATATCTCGAAGCATTAAAATAATATGTAGCATAACGTAATCAATTGTAAATTAGACTTTGGCAGCTTAAGCTGTGATCTTTATAAGTGATTAGTAATTAATACATTAACCTCTATGAAAAGAGTATTCATATTTCGTATATTTTGTTTGAAATTAATGTATTACAAGTTGCAGGTGGAAGAAAAAAAGAAGGAGAAAGGTGATTCGGAATTCGAGGACAAAGTTGATAAGCTATATGAGATGATGAATCGATGGGATGTAACTTGCACTGGCTTATCTTCTGCAGTTAAAAGAATGTATGATTTAAGAAAACTTCATGAACAAGGTACATAATGGGAGTTTTAAAGTTTCTGTTGTTTTATTACTCACCGCTCATTTTCATAAGCATAGATGATTTATTCGCAAGACTTGATCTCCGATTATAGTTTGAGAGTAGAAAGCTTAATTAGTTAGTGTCAGGCAATGTTACCACAGAAGTTTAAGTAAACTCAGAAGATGCTATATTTTAGTCCTCCAAATAGTATGGTTCCAGTGATTTATATCTAAAAAAATTGTTGATTCAACAGAGGGTTAAGTAGTTATTATTCGATCGATGCCAATATTGTGTGGTAAGCAATTGCACAATCATGTGTACTTAACGCCAGAACGGAGTATGTGAGAAGTGTTTTGGTTGAGTTAGGTAAAGGAGGAAATGACTTACAGAATCAATATCCAAAAAATGACTTCTAGAATCGATATCGATTCAGAGTAACAAGGAGTAGGGATCGAAATTAGTTGTTGTAGTTATTATCATCAACACGATTATTGTACTAAAAATATATCTTTTTTTTGATTTTATCGAAAATTTTTAGCAGAGCAGTTCAGCAAAAAATTGAGTCAATTGACGGGTATCCGTTCACAGTTAGCCAAAACGATGGAAAGGGAAGAAATGATGTTATTTGATTTCCGCCAACAAACGCACTCCGCTTTAGAGAAACTTGGCGCTGATATTGCTAGGCTGGAAGAACGAATCAATAAACTGAATCTCTAAAGGTCTTCGCTCAGTTATTATCTCTATGAATTTTCTACAACTATAAAGCTTTATGCTACCAGTGAATTAAATAGAGAGTTGTCGTTACTCAAAATTTTAGATTTTGATTTGAATCATCAGAATCTATATATTCCACTCATCAAAAAGAATTTCTTACCGAGTGCACTTATTAATTTATGCTTACTGGCACTGTAGGAATAAATTATTTATCATAGAAAAATGATCTCCATGAATAATGATGGGTGGTTTTTTTTTTTTTTTTCAGTAATGACTGTCTTTTCTACCCAGAACTACTTGAACTGATCTTTATATAGTTAATCTAAAATTAGCTTAAATCATGAATTTCAAAGTTCGTTTGAATATTTCATTTGATTTTTTTAGATTGTTGTTAGTTTTTGTTTATGACTCTACAATTCACTGTGTTAATTCAGGCCATCAGTTCTATACTTTCCATAGGCTTTTTTTCTCATTCTTTGTTCAATATTTTGCTATACATTGGCTTCACTAAAAACTTTATTAAGATTTACGTAGGGAAACAGCCAATAATTGCTTGTAAATTTGCATAAATGTTTATGAAGTAGCTGTAACCATGTTTGATATTGCTGTTCAAAAAAAAGACGATTTTTATCGATTTGTTAGACAGAAAGTAGCAAGACTACTAAAAAGAAAACATTGTATCCAACATGTGGCTTTACGATTAAAAAAAGATGTTATGTATTGTGGTTGCGGGTAGTTTGGATATCAGCAAATTGAATTCTGTTCCGGTACCTAACTTTTAAGTTGCGAAAATTTTCTGATCTATTAGGTCAGAAAATCTTATCGTATTTTCGGTTAAGTGATGATCATGGATGGTGCTCTTTTTGAAATTCCAGGCATAATGGATTAGAAACAAGGACATGCGAAATTTCGGTTAGTAGTATAATTTTCCGGCATTTATTGCTTCTGCATCTATTTCGTTTAATGGGGCTTGAAATCGTTCATTTGTTAAGCAATGGTTTATAATAGTTTAGATTTCTGGCCAGCGCAATGGTTGTTAACAAGTTGGTCTAGCTTATGTGGTGATATGCTATTGGCTGTTAATTATGTGGACAGCTCAGTTGTGGTTAAGTTCAATCAACCAATCACTGAAGTATAGTTGCACCATACTAAACTTTACAAATTTATTCAATAATCAGTAGCATGTGCTTCACGATAAAAACTTCAATGAATTAGAAAGGTGAATTTTCCTTATCTTTTTAGCTCTTCTTCAAATTTTCCAATTTGCTACCTTCCCTTTTCTGTTCTTTTTTTTTCTTATTAATTTTATATTTGTTTTCTTTGAAGCTTATATATATATATATATATATATATATATATATATATATATATAATTT